ACAACCTTTCAAATTCCCGAGGGGTCTCGCACAGTGGAAGGACTTCTGATCTTCAGAGGCTAAGTGCTGGTATTGTGTCTTACTGCCTGTGGCAAGGTGAAAAATTATTACAGCTCATCAGCCTGGTGGAACAGAAGTCACCTCGGGGGGAGGAAGGACCCAAGTTAGCTCTGGATGGTAGAACTGAGGTGGTTAAATTTTGGTGGGACTGAGGAAGTAAAAGAAATCTTGTGGGAGGGAGACCTAGAAATGCCAAGTAGAGCTTCTGCATTTTATTATGGATTACTCTTTTACCTTCTCCTTACCACTGGGGTTGCTTTGTAAAGGGGCAGGAAGGTCAGAGCAGTTGGCTTTACTTGGGGGGTATATTTGTGCTGGACGTGATGACTGTTAAATGGGAACTATTTAAATAATTACAGCTTGCCAGTGGAACTTAGTCCAGCTACTCTTTGTATCGTTTGTGCCCAGCTCTTAGTGGGAGGGAATAGAAAAGACAGAATTGAATTCTAGTCGCTTTACAGTGATGATATGAAAAACAGTAGACAGAAGCTGCTATATGGGAAATTCTGATTTAACATACAGGTTTTCTTTCTTCTGTGTGGTCCAACACTGTGATAGGTTGTTGAATCTGCATCCAGACAAGGTCCTGGGCAAATCTGATCTTGTTTCTCTTTGTGGGCAGTTGGGTGACCTTTCAACTTAAAATAATCTGTGCTCATTAAAAGCAAGTATAGGCAACTTGAAAAATTAATGCTCTGTCTTATGTTTTAATTCTTAGGGGCTTATCTTTGTTTTTCCTGTAACTGTTAACAATAATCTTGAGTTCTGTGACATTACACTCTTAAGTATTAAAAAGCTATTCCTCTATTTGTCACATTATTATTTTTTTTTACCAGCACTGTGAACTGTCACACAGTCCATTCCACGTAGGAACAAACTTGTTAAACAGACTTTCTCTTACCACACAGGAGAAACCATAGCTGACAAAATAATTGCATTTGTATCAGTATGCAGATTAAACTGGCCATCTACCTCTACATACACAGTTTATTTGGATCTGTGATTTAGTTTTTTTTCATAGCATCCCATGTGGGAAATGTTTTGTTGTCTGATGCTTTGTGGAGTCCGCTGTGTTTACAGGAATACAAATTCTGAGATTAGTGTTCTAAAATTGTAATGAAACAGGACTTCAGTGTTTGCAAGAGGATTTAAACTGGTAGGGAGAAAGGGGATTTGTTGGACTCTTATTCTTGGTTTTGTTCAATAAACTTAGCAATAAACACTTCTGATAATCCCATTTTAAACTATTTCATAGTGACTGCTTTCTCTTGCACATTTGAACAAACTGTTAGACACTTAGACTGGACCATTTGGGTTTTTAAGATGACAGTAAGCTTCTGCCCATGGCTCCTTTATGTAAAGATAGCCAACTCTTGACACTGGATTCCATTCTGAACCAAAATGGAGAAGTCTTTCACTAATTCTCACTTAACTGTAACCATTTAAAATTCTTTGCCCTTGAGGACTATTTAATCTTGAAAGCAGCATGCAAAGGATGATCTCAATCATATTTATATCATCTTCCGTACTCAGACTGCTTAAATCTATATTGGGTATGTTAGTAAAACCAGATAGTTTTGGATAACTTTTGCTGTAAAATTAAAAGTAATGGTAGTAGACAGGCAGGAACCCTCTTCTGGCAGTATTTCAGCTGACCTATCTATGCCGTTTCTCCCATAACTCCATTTATGGGGAAAATGGATTCCCTCCTGTTCTTGAGCCTGCATTCCTGCTCAAGTGCATGCCCAGCCCTCTCTGTATCTCTGGCTGCTCCAGCTCAGAGCCAGCCTTGTCCTTTGGAAGGCACAGCGAGTGAAGGTAGGCGGCAGCAATGAAGAAACACGCTACAGCATTAGGATCTCTGGATTTCCCAAATTAGAGCAGAATCGGCTGCTGAAGAGGGAAGTCACGTCTGAGGCTAATGGTTCATTACCACTGAAGCAGGTCCTGGTACAGCATATGTGAAGGCGTATTTTATATGCACTGACTTGTAGATGGTCAAACACAAAAGCATGGTGTGCTAATGTTATTTTATATATTTATTTTTGGCAAGCGGCCACATAGTTTCTCTGTCAGAACAAAGGCAGAGGCTGTGCGTGCATCCGGAATCACAACTAATTCAGTTCTTGAGAATCTTGTGCTCCTTAGTTTCAAGCTAAACCTTTCCCATAAGGTGACCAGACATTACATGGAGAAAGGTCATCTCCTTTTTTCTCTTTCACAGGAAACAGAAATGCATTTCAATGCAAGTCTGTCTCGTTTGCTAATTAATCTTACTTGTCTCAAGCTCCATAAACAAGCATTTACTTAATAGTGTGCTCTTTACTTCTGGGAGAATAATGTGGAATCCTGTGTTTCTGAAGAAATCTACACTGAGACTGCTGGTTGTGAAGATGCAAGTAGACTGACTGGTCATTGTCTGTCTAATCTGGAGAGGGAGCATGTTTTGGGTGGAGTATTTAGAAAGTACACATTTCCTCTCCTTAATTTCCTCTTAAAGAGGTATTTTTAGCTTAGAAAACCCTTAAATGTTAGGAGGTTTGGAAACAATATATTAAAAAAATCGCAAAACCCACTTTCATTTTCTTACTTGCATTTCAGATTTTGTTTTGGGAGTTCTTGCAATGTTAAGGCTATTCCTCTGTGTACTGTACAATAGTGCTCTATACACAAGTGATCCTAGGTTTCTAAGCCTTCTAATAACGCTAATTATTCCTCTTTCTCCTTCTTCCCCTCTTTTTAAAGGAGGGCAGAGTCCAAGCATAAAGAAATAGTGCCAGTTTGTAGCTGAAGTAGCAGCTAGAGAGAATGGGTTAATGTTGGATTTTTTTTTTTCTTTATTGATAGCAATGGATTTTAAGTTTGGGAGCTTTTTAGAGAGGATGATTTTAAAAAGCAGCCAAGAAACCTGAACAACCAACCCCAAACAAAACAAAAAAGTTCTGAAAAAAAAAAAAGATTGTTTTGTGCTACTTTAGCTTCCTCTTTTGAGAACATCCTGGCCAATGACTTGACAAAAGCACTTAATTGTTTTCTGAGATATGGGGTGTGTGTATGAGGTACAGTGGGGCTCTGGATTCCAGATGAGAAGACCCTTGTAAACACCCATCTTCAGTGGAGACAAGTTTTTAAAAAAAAGTTCATAAAACCTGTTAGCTTTATATGTTCAACATAATTAAAAAATGTAGTTGATGAAAGATAACTTAATCTGTAGAGTTATGTTAATTTTAGGTGTTCTACTGGTATGGCTTCAGATTGGTGCCTCTAGAATGTGAACTTCTTGAGCCCTTGGGCTGATAAAGATGTCACCAAGATTGCAGCAGGCTTGTATTTCTTCTTCCAGATAAGAAAGGAAGAAATAAGTTCATGTCCTTCTAACTGTCCCTGCAGTTGCAAGTAGTAGCTTAGTAGCTGCCAAAGTATCTCTTCTCCCTAAATAGCCCATAATCTGCAGGAAAGTTTTGTAATATCCACAGGGGCAGTGATCCTTCAAATTATAAAATAACTGAAAACATGATCTTCCCTGCATCTTATTACATGCTTTGTGTTGAGCAAGTGGTTTGTGAATAATTTGTTCCTTCATTTTGGACAGAAACAAATTGAAAGCTGAGCTGTTTATATCCTTGTACGTGCAACAATAGTGGTATGACTTCTCAGAGTAAATTGCAAACTTGTTAATAATAAAACCATATCACTGCATCTCATTAACCCTGGCATTGTATAACTGTTGCCAGAACTAAGGTTAGTAACAGAGCTTGTCAGCTGTAGCTCACTGACCGTTCCTGGTAAAAGCCAAACTGGACACAAGCCATCTCCATTGCGATGACTGTCCCTCCCAGTGCGTCCAGCCACAGCTAACTGGGGGTGCTCCTGATGCTGCTGGGGCGGTGGGTGGGAGTGTGGGGATGGGTGCCCCTCTGCCTGCTGGGTGTGAGCCTGCACACCCAACCGTGACCACAGTTCCACAGTCCTTCATCCGTCTGATTTAAGAGCGACGTTCCCCAGAGGTTTAAAGAGCCGGAGTGGGGCATTTTAAATTTACTGTGTTATATGGATGCATAAGTTATGGTGCTTGGGGTCTGTTTTTCACCTCGAACTTCCAGTGGCTGTTCCTCAGTTAAATTTGCTGATGGGTTGATATAGTGTGTGAATACCTGGCCTTTACTCTGCACTGTTTTTCATATTCACACATATTTCCCTTGCGTTATGAATTGGTCGTCTGCCCTTTTAGTCTTTTCACAGTGGAACCCTTTGCGTATCATTTATGGTCATTGCTTTTGCTAACTGTGCTGTTTCTCCTCTTTGGAAAGCAAGCTGGGATTAGTCTGGCTGAAGTGTAATTATAAAAGGGTGTGCTCTGCTCTTGATCACTACCAGGCATCTCAAATATACTCGGAAATATGAGTCAAATCACTTAAATGTTTTCCTTATTCCTATCAGATGCCCAGGATAGGGCATATAAATGTGGCATCTATTAATTTCTTGATCTCCTGTATTTTGCCAAGACCTATACTGCAAATCACTTTGTCCTGACAGCTGGATTAAATGTCCTTTAACTTGAGGTCTTATGGCCTCACTCACTCTGGTTTCGCAGTCACAGACCAAAAGAAGGGCAGCAAAGAATCTGCTGCTTTGCTTCTGTGAAGCTTCCAGAGTGAGCCGAGCTGGGGAGACAAGTCACCAGAAACATACTTGGTTTAGGCTAAGGCTAGCTTTCAGCCTGCTAGCTCAACCCTATGAACAGGCTTGTGCAAACACGGTCACTGATGTAGGTACAATAGAAAGGTGAGTGGACCCCAAAATACTGTCCTGATGTCAGCTTGGTCAAAAGCTTAACCTTTTGCGTTAATTGTGGATTGCAGATTGTAAAGGCAGCAGTAAGATCATTCACGCAGCCTATTTTCCTGAAGCTGACTGTAGTCATATTGCTCTCTACACAGATGGGCCTGGGCCATGAGCAAGGATTTGGTGCCCCCTGCTTAAAATGCAAGGACAAGTGTGAAGGATTCGAGCTTCATTTCTGGAGGTAAGTGACACCGGATGTCTATTAAGCTGTGACTCAGCACTGCAGATCATAGCACATGTATGCAAATGTGTAAGTAACTGCTTTTGTTCTCTCTTTCAATTAAACTGTTCAGATGTGTTAAAGAAGCTGTGTCTAGGTTCAGGGCCAGGCTTCTCAGCTCTGTTACAACAGAGTGTTTAAGTATGTAACACTTAAAAACATTCATTTCATCTGCACTGAAGTCAATGGTAGTACTTCTACTGAAGCATTTGCCTTAGCTTAATAAACAGTTGAAGTAGGTTTGTAAAAACATCTCTATTCCTACAGTAAGAGAGATGGCAGGGAAGAAGTGTGCTTTATCTCAGTAATAAAATTCTTCCTTTGCTTCTGATCAAATACGTAAGCTGTGATCTGAGATTTTAGGTAAAGGTATCTATGTCAAAAAGATATTGGAACTTTCTGTACATCTACAAATGACTTAAAGGGGGGGGGAGGTGTTATAATTCAAGTAAGTTTGATAGCATTTGGCCTCAGATAACATGCTGTTCTTAAACCACTGAGAGCTGGTCATTGTAGCAGTAAATAGTCTAAGCTGTGGTCTATGCCATGACTTCTGCAGAAACTTTGTATTCTGTGAAGACCTTCCCTGTTTTACTTTAACAAGATGTGTATATCAAAGTATCTAGCTAGCTAGTTCAGTTCACTGATTATATTGTCTGTACTTCAGGATGTAGTTCAGTGATTCTAATTCAAATAAATAAAAAAACACCTCTCTCAAAGGGAACAGCCTGGAAAGGACATAAAAATAGATAAATGCACTAGCACACACTAGCAATGGAAACAATTACACTTCACCAATACTATTTAATGACAATCATAATTGTATCTACAGTAGGATTTTATTTTGTGGGGTTTTTTAAGGTACTCTTTACATCCCAGCCACAGTGGTGTCAACTGCAGATAAGGCCTAGGAGATTTTGTCTTTACCCAACTATTTGACTGCAGCTGAGGCTCAGTTTAGAAAACAACCAGACAAACAAACCACAGAAAAATCTTGCTGTGAGTTGATGGGGGTTTAGCTTCTTGATTATGTATCTCTAATATGTAGCTGAAGAAACAACTTACAAATGACATGGAGCAAGAAGTGTTAATACACTGATGAATAAACATGATCATCTAAACAGAAAAGAAATTACTAATTTATGAAAAGACTCACTCAGACACTGATGGGACTCCTGTGGAGGTAATAAAATAAAATGAAGTACAGTTAATGTGTAAGTAATTCATTAAAACAGAATAAAAAATTTGCAGGAGTAGATAGTGTTGTTCATATATAATTTCTCATGTAATCATATCACTTCCTACTTCAGAAAGATAGATGGGGAAATCACAAGTGGGTGAGAAAAAAAGAATTAGTCCAGTTAACTTTTTTTTTTCTCAACTCTTCCTTATTGTCCTCTTTTTCTTAGTTCCTATTCTTTGACCTTGTAATTCCTAGCTTATCTTTTAACAGGGGAAAAATTTGGGATAAAAAGAAATAAAATGCCTAAAGTGATTTAGTCACATAATAGCATGATTACCAAGTTAGAATGTGTTGTCTTCTGTGTGTGTATTTGGGGACTTTTGTGTGTCTCTTTCCTTATATACATTTCACTACCCTCCTGTGGTTAGGCTCGTTATTCCAGCTCCTGAATGCACAGCTTGTCAGAGCACTGTCTCTCCTGGAAAGCAAGAGCTTGTAGACAGCAGTAGATTAAAGAGTAAGTAAGAGAAAGACATAAAACCAGTAGCTGTTTAGTTAAGATTAAGATACAATTTGGAAATCTAATCTGTATGGGATAGAACAGGTAAACAAGGTGGCTGGAAGTAATCCAAGAAGCATCATCTAGGTATCAGACAGGTGTCGCATGTACCTCTGAAACAGGGGGAAAGTTAGCCATTGAGGCAATTCAAGAATGGGTTAGAAAATAGCTGTTCCTCCAGCAGAGCTGCTGTGGGCGAAATTAAGGGTGTAAATCTGAAGCCTGAATCAGTTTTGTGCAAACAGTTTTCAAAGGAAAAAGTATATTCATATTCTTCACATGAGACTTTGGGAGTCCACCGCTTTTCTGAGGGGTGGATGCCAATACTTGTTCGCTTAGTCATGTTAGCCTTAAAATCTGAAACTATTTTAAGTAGAAGCAAACTGTAGCACAAGCGAAAAGAATGTTATTTTTATGACATGAATAATTTAAATCAGTTCAAGTTTAATCACTGATTTCACTATTGCTCATCTGTGAAAGATAGGTGTTGAAGTAGGGATTGTTTTAGGAGAAATTGTTGCATGTTGAGGGGAAGAATAACTGTGGTGGGTTGACCACAACCAGCAAACAAACATGAACACAGCTGCTCACCCCTGTCCCATCACCACAGGGTAGGGGAAAGAAAAGGAAGAACAAAAGTAAGAAAACTCAAGGGGCAAAAATAAAGTCAGTTTTATAGATGCAGGAAGGTGGGGTGGGGGGGTGGAGCAAGTGATGCAAAGGCTGTCACTCACCACCTCCTACCAGCAGACCTGTGCCCAGCCAGTCTCCAAGCAGGGTCCACTGCAGAAGTCAGAAACTTGGCCGCCTTCATCCTTTACCCCTGCCATGTTGCTGAACCTGACATTATGTAGTATGGAGTATCCCTTTGGCCAATTTGAGTTGTCCACCCCCAGCTTACTTGCTGAGGTGGGGGCAGAGGCCAAAAAAAGAGGAAACCTTGACACTGTGCCAGAAGTGCTCAGCAATAGCAAGTGCTATCAGTGTTGTTTTAGCCACAAATCCAAAGCGTGGTGCTATACAGGTGTTATGAAGGATGTTATCTCCATGGGAGCCAGAACCAGTACAGTAAGTGAGGCAGCAGTTGTGTTTGCTGGCTGCAGTTCTTGCTGTGGTCTGTGTAAGGGTGACACTGCCCTCTCCTGGGTGGAGCTGAGGAGCTTCCACAGATCGTTTGGAATATGGTACTGTATATCTGCCAATATCTGAAGGGAGCCTACAGGAGAGCCAGAGAGGGACTCTGTCAGGAAGTGTAGTGACTGGACAAGGGGTAACGGTTTTAAACTGGAAGAGGGGAGATTTAGATTAGATACCAGAAAGAAATTCTTTACTGGGAGGGTGGTGAGACACCGGAACAGGTTGCTCAGAGAAGTTGTGGATGCCCCATCCCTGGAGGTGTTCCAGGCCAGGATGGATGGGGCTTTGAGCAACCTGGTCCAGTGGGAGGTGTCCCTGCCCATGGCAGGGGGGTTGGAACTAGAATGATCTTTAGGGTCCCTTCCAACTCTAACCATTCTATGATTCTATGTAATTCTTGGTCTGGTACATAAAAACTATGGTGTATCTCAAAGAGCTAAGATGTAATTTCTTTCTGTATTCTGTACAAAAAAACCTTCAATCCTGCCTTTGGGGAGTCAGACTGGAAAATGCATGAAAAAAATCCAAGTATATAAGCTATTCAAGTATATATTTGAGCTATAATTCTTGGCACAGGGTGTCAAAATTCCCAAATTTTGGAGTTCTGAAAGCCTCAGTGTTGTGAGCTGAACATGAAATAAATACAATGAAAGCCATGGTCTGCAACAGCAGCTGATCAGTGAACAATTACCTGCTTTGTCTTCATGTGTTAGTAACTTTTGCTTTTAAAACTGTCCTCAGAATCATGCTTTCATCCAAGTGTAGCAGCAGCGATGGGCAGGATCTTCTCCGTGTGGGTATTAGACTTCTTTCAGACTATAAAACTGCCCCTGCCGAATTAGCAGGGCGGGCTGTAAGAGACTGCCAGCCAGATAAACGTTTGCTCTTTGGGAATGTTTCCCGCTAGAGGGAGGCGTGGGACAGGAGTCAGAAGTTGTTAAAAGCAGGAGGGAAGGTTCTGATTTATTTTGGTTGTGTGTATACCGGAAAGTGGTAATTGCCTATGGTGCAGCTTGCCAAGATATTAAAAAGCTTCTGGAGAGAGGAATCTTAAACTTGGGAACAACCGTTTTCAGCATCTGGCTTCTCTGCACAGACACAATCCCTGGAAGGCAGGGAGAGCTTTAAGCTGGCTTTAACATTTCTGATAATACAGCTGACAGGAAAGTACTGAGGCACAGTTCAGGGTGTCTGCAATTACTGTAGTCTCATTAATAGTGAGAAAACATAACAGAAAGAATCACGGAAAGAGGTTAGTCTTTCTGCGTGGAGAAAACAAGCCTTGGTATTTATTGAGGGCTTCTCGGTGCTTGCAGTTGCTGCCACCTGTCACAAGGAGCCACTGCAAAGCTAGTGTAGGAAGGATCATGATCAGAATTATTTTTCCTCTCCAGATACCAAAACATAGAAAAGCAGGAAGATGGTTGACATTTGGTTTTGGAGAAGGAACTGAAAGTCTTTCATCCTTTCTGTCAGTAGACACCCAGGACATAGGAATTCACCAGTTTAGCAGAGAGGATGGAATCTGTTTACCTTCCTTCTTCCTCTTTCTACCCACCTGAGACTGACAAGCAAGACATAATCTACTAGATTGGTCTTTTACAGTGACATGCAACTTTTAATCCCACAAATACTGAAGCTTCCTCCTTATCTTCCATGTTTTCAATAGTAAAAGCTTCCCAAACTGCTGAGATTTGGCTGGAGGAGCATTTCTCTCCTTTACCTAAGTCCTCAGAGCTGTGAACACATAAGCAGGAGTCCTTAATAACCTCCTTCAGCAGGGATCTGAACATCCTCAAGTGAAGGGAAAACCTTTTTGATAGTGCAGATAGAGAGAACAAGAAAATCTTATACCTCTTGCCTGTCTTCTCCATAGAGCCAAAGAAGATAAATTGAAGTCTATACGTATACAGGTGCTTATATGTTTCAGTGTATATACAGAACAGCCACTGGTTTTCCTGGCATATGTGAGGTGTTTGCTTTAACACCAAAAATAAAAATTAGGCGTCAGTTGTCAGAGGGACTTCTGAAGTGTAAGTTTGAGGTAGTGGGATGGGGTTGCTGTATTGTAGTCAAAGAAATGACTAGTAGATCTATTCTAAGTGAAAGTAATTGGCCATATTCCTTCTGCAGAAGGGACAGTGACTAATGAGCAGGACTCTGATGTGGCAGCTTAGTGGAAGAAGGTATGACTAAATTGCAAACAGTACTCTGCAGGAAGAACTATGTGTGCAAATGTCAAGTGGATATCTTTTAGGACTGGAAATTATTCAAGAAAAGGGATTATAAATCAGGACAGGAAACCTTTTTTTGGCTGTTAGCAGTGAACAGACATCTTCATGTGGCTGGGATCCAGGGGAGCCTGGGGGAGCAGGGGAGATGGCAGCAGCCTCAGGGATTTTCCTTCCACTCAGAGATATGCTGACATCAGTTGTGACTCAGCATTCTCTGCATTCTTTCTGGATTGTTTTCTGCTGTGTTTGGAAACTTGATTACCCACAAGGTCTAATGCCAGACCACTACACTTGTGATTTTGTAACATAGCCCCTGCAACGGCTTCTTGCAAGCCCCATGAAAGCAAAGAGTCATTCACCTAATCTTTAATGTTATCTCCCTGTTCTTTCAACTGAGGTGTACGCAGTCAAATTCTTAATTTAAGTAAATCCAGCATGGGGGGAGATTAGCGAGTATCTCATTCTTTTCAATCCGAGTATAAAGCACAGTTGTACTGGGTCGGTTTTCATAGTAGGAGGCAGGAAGCACCTGAGAACAAGTTGTATGCTCTCACTTTGGTAGTTTCTGTTCATCTGTTTATCAGGAAAATAGTAAAATCTCTCAAGGATATTGACATGAAATGTGTTAAACCTTCAGGGTGGGACTGAGGATGATAAAAGCAATTGAGTCAGTGTCCTCTCCTAGTTGGAAACAGGATCTCAAAGCTGTTCTGCATTCTGAGACAATACTACTAGAAAACAAATATGCAATTTCATGATGTAGCTTGAGCAAAAATAAAGGTGCTGCTGTGGCTTTTCCAGCACATGTGAAAGTCTCAGGGGAAAAATTCCAGCACTGCTTGTTGGGGCTGGCTCTGGCCTCTGCAGGCGTCGATGCTGCCTCGCTGTAGTTGGATGCTGTATGGAGCAGGGAGAGCTACACAAACTGTCACGCTGCTGTTGTGACCACACAGGCAGTATGACAATATGAATTATTCTTAATGAGTTGTGTTTTGCAAGCAGAGCAGTTCCAGACAGCAAGACTAAACTTGACTTGCATGAGTCTGTGCAGGTTACCTGAGAACATCTGTTAGTTCACCAACATTATTTGATCATGTCCTGTCAAGAGGCAAGACTAAAACTGGGGCTTACTATTCCTAGAGACTTAAGTTGAAAAAGTGAAGGAAATATCTGGTAAGCTATTGTTCAAGTGGACTAACTGCTTAAATTCAAGTTTCATGTGTGCTGTGAGGCATAAAGCTACATAATGGTCACAATGTAACAATGAACTGAACCTACAAAAAGTAAGGTCTGGTTCTGTCATCTAGTATTAGATGTCAAAGAAGATGTGATCGAGAATTGGTAATAAAGTATAATCATATGCACACCTTAAAAGATTAAAAAATGAATATAAATTGCTTTATTAGTATATTAAATAGTCTCTAAGTATTAGCTAGGTAAAGGACTCGTAGGCTGATGCTGAAGATCTTGCAAAATTTTATGCTACGAGTGCTTGTGATGCATAGTACAGCATTTAGCCTTAATGGACAGTGCTAGTTCATGCTTGAATGTTTTAGTAAGCTGAGAGACTGCAAAGTGCTGAGTGTTTACTAGGTATCCAGATAAGTATCAGCTTTGAAATTATGTGCATCTTCCCTCTTCTGGATATGACTTGGAAGTCATGCAAGCTGTCAGACAGCCTACATTTCAATTATTGATGTCTTTAGGTTTTTATGTGTTGCAAAGCAGAGTCTGTTCTGCTTAACATTCTTATTTTGCTTGTCATTTTTGGAGTGGCTCATTTTTATTGCAGACTTAGCTATTTTTATTTGGTGTGGGCTTCATAACTTGAAGCAACCATAAGTTATGGTAATCTATAATCACATAGCAGCATCCATCACACACTGAGATGCTAGTATGTTATAGACTGGTGTACATATGTACTGCATGTCTTTGGGGCTGTCTGTGCATCACTTCACACAACCAGTTACATGCAGGGCCTCCTTCTTCATTCCTTCGCCATCACCTACTGTGCCTGCTGTAATCATGGCATGTTCTTGTCATGTACCTGTCAGGTGCCTTGAGATAAGGTATGTGTCTTCCTTTCAAGGCTTTAGAAAGCAAGATGCAGAAAAATGTTAGAAGTCGATGGGGGTTGGCAAGCAGGGTTAAGCATTTTATAGGTTGTAGTTTTATGTGATTTACTACGTGAAGAATAAATAATGGGGTAAAATATTACTCATTCTTCTTCTAGAGTAATTCAGAAGATTTGAGACACAGAAGCTTGATCCATTTTCTTAGTCTATAATAAGAACTTCTAGTTAACATCCCACTTCACTAATTTCCATAGATTATGGCTGGCTGCTTTGAAGCTCTGGGGAAGCCATTAATAAATAGCAAACTAGCTTGTCTGATCCAAGGTTCTGTTTAATACATGTGAATTGTTTAATTATGCTTAAAGTAAAACATTGCTATCTAATACCTCTTAATCAAAGGAGTTCAAATGTGTTGTATATGAAAGAATACCAGCTCTATCTAAGTGAGTAAAGCCTTCTACCTTTTAAGGATGTTATCTGTGAAAATCCTTTGTACAGCGTGTGCCAGAGAATCCGACTTGGTTCAGAGCCGTTTGAAAGGCTTTATCCATATTAGCCTTTCACTTTTCTTTCATCTGCTCTTTTAAACTTTGAACAGAACTCTGTGCAATTACACTGTATATATGGCTGTATGATTTTTTTTCCTTTCTAGGAGATATTTGTTTCCACTTGATAGCAACCCTGTGATAACCATCTATCATGCATACGGTGAAATGCATATGAGGAAAATAGTTTAGTGTGTGTAATTTTGAGTGTATAAAGAAACCTGAAAAGCTAAAAGTCCAAATAAGTGACTTCTGGGGGTCTATGTTGATGCATTTAAGTTAATTCATGGGTCACTACTCATAATAAATTTGGTAGGTGGGTGATAGCGGACATGTATGTGTGTGATCAGTACTGAGATGTAACTGAAGGAATGATATAGCATCATATTCAAAATGCATTAGTGTAGTTGACTGATACCTATCTGATCATAATCTCTGTGAACAAAGAATGTAAATAATACAGAAGGAGAGATAAAGAATATCCTCAAGAGGTATTTGATGTATTGCAGAAGGACATCAAAGCACTGAAAACAAGGTATTGGGTTCCCAGTGATGTTGTTACTAGGCATGCAGGTGGTGTGAGGTGTAGTTTTCAGCTGAGACTGTAACTTTGCTGTTTCCATTAAATTTCAGAAAAATATGCCGCAACTGCAAATGTGGCCAGGAAGAGCATGATATCCTCACAAGCAATGAGGAAGATCGGAAAGTGGGGAAACTCTTTGAAGATACAAAGTACACAACCCTTATTGCAAAGCTGAAGAATGATGGCATTCCCATGTATAAACGCAACGTAATGATACTGACTAATCCAGTGCCAGCCAAGAAGAACATCTCCATCAATACTGTGACTTATGAGTGGGCTCCTCCTGTTCAGAATCAGACACTTGTAAGTCCAACCCACTTTTTCTTCATGTTCAAGGCCGGAGTTGATGGGAAATAGAAAAATAGGACTTACTGGAAGGATAAATTTGCCTCTTGTAGTCATTCTGTGTTACTTCTTCTTTTCTTCCTCCTCAAAAACTGAAAATATGGAGCCTGTTTAATGAGTCTTGCCTGTGTCATCTTGCAGATATGGATGCTTGTCTATGGAACTTCTTGAGAACTGGGGAGATGAGGTGGTTTTTAATAGATGGGATTAAGCGTTAGCTGCTAAGTCCCTGGAGTCCAATTTCTCTAACCTGCTTTTTTTAGTAGACTTGAAAAAATTTCATGGAGTGTGGGCTTAAAAGCAAAAAAAGCCAAAACAAACCCACAACAATTTATGTCATTGTTTAAAGTTAAGGGGAACACTCAGTCTTGCATATAGCTTTTACTGTATATGGTAAGAACAAGGTCAGTGTTGACATCTAAAAGAGCAACTCCCTTCCAGGATGTTTTCAGCTGGAGTAGATGAGATTGTAGATAGCCTTCTGAGGGTTTTACTTCACTTTTCACACGTTGATTGCTAATTTACTGTACTGTTGTGTGATCCATGCCAGAATCACTTTCTCTGACCTACCTCTCAAAATATCCTTTTTCAGTGAATTAATCAAACCTTGTGCATCTAAATCAACTGTTACTAAATGTTCAGTTACTGCTTCGATTCTTAGGCTTTTTTATAAAACAGTGCTTTTAAATTTTTAGCTAGAGTTATTTCTGCAATGGGCTGCGTACCCCAGGCAAACTATTTCAGCTTGTACTTTTTAAAGCTATACTGATAATCAGTAGTTTAGTTTTGAAGAGATAAGATGCTATGCAACTGTTAATTATTGTTTACTCTGTGAATAACTGTATTCCATAAAAGGCTTAAAAGGAAGCCTGTCTCTTACTCTGGGAAGAAGCTAGTTAAAGCATCTGCTATATTTTTATCTCCATCTACTGTATTTTGGGAGCTTAATGTTTGTGGAAAGAACCTTGGTTTTGACATATTTGACTGTCGCTAACAACAGTAGAGACGATTATAGTTGTGTGTTTGCTTAAAAGGATGGGTCTATAGTTGAAGTGGCATCTGATATCTAATTCCTCCTGGTTCAGGCAAGGCAGTATATGCAAATGCTACCAAAGGAGAAGCAGCCTGTTGCTGGCTCGGAAGGCGCGCAGTACAGGAAGAAGCAGTTGGCGAAGCAGCTGCCTGCTCACGATCAGGATCCTTCAAAATGCCACGAGCTCTCCCCCAGTGAAGTTAAGCAGATGGAACAATTTGTGAAGAAGTACAAAAACGAGGCACTTGGCGTAGGAGATGTCAAGCTCCCTGGTGAGGTGGAAACGAGTGCTGCCGGGAAGAGTAAAGTGAAGAATGGTGACAGAGGCACCTCAGCTGCTGTAGGAGCGATGGAGGACAAGTCCCCAGATCAGAAGCCATCTCAGTATGTAAGTATAAGAAAGAAAAGATAAACCAAGAAGGTACATTATCATCTGAGTGCTCTCTTTGATTGTTTTCACCCAACTAACTTGTTTGTTAACTTGGAATGGTGAAAATCTGGGGAGGGAAAGAAAGAAGAGGGACTGGAAAATGTTGTGAGTGTCCGCACAGAACCCTAGTTTCTGACTGTATTTAGTGTATTGCAGCAAATAACTTCCCAGGTGGCCTTTTCATCCTCGTTGCAAAAACATGTTAGTTTGGAGATACAGTATAGTAGGACGGCTTTTACAGAATAATAATCAAGAAACTTGTGTTGTCTTACAGACTGATTGCTGCACTTTTCTCCTCTTGAAGAGTTTAGTTTCATTATAGAAGTCCGTTTCTTTTTTTTTTGTTTTTCTTGGAAGAGCACCAAAATTACCTGCATGACTAATTGTGTTTAAAATTAAATGAAACTAAAAAAATAATAAAGTAACACCTCTCCCTCCCATGTTCAACAAGCCAAGCCATAGCACAGCTGTTTTGAGTAGCCTTTTCATATTCAGATCTATCTTTTTCTTTGATCTATTTTTTATTTGGCATCTGATCTCTGCCTTGCAATGGCTCAACAAAAAATAAGGTGTGTAAAACACCCAGTTTTCATTGATATTTCTGAAACTATTGCCTTAATAAAGTATTTCTGACATAACTTGCTAACCTCTGCTGGGTGTGTCCCAACTACCAATTATGAATACAAAATAGGGGTAGGATTACTGAAAAAACATTGGATTATCTTAGCAAAGGTAGACCTTCACTTCAGAGTTGCAGAAGATCCTGCAACTTGATTTCCCGAAATGTTGCTGTTATATTTTTGAATGACAAAAATTACTTGTCTTCAGGTCACTTGCAGTAAATTAATATATTGAGTTTTAGATGGAGATAAAAAGTTTTTTTGTTAACACGGTTGCAGGATGTGGCTTTCAGTGGTATTGGAGGGTGTTGTGTGCTCCTTTTGGTGTGTTTTTGTTGTTTGTAACTGGCACAGCATATTACTTCTGGCGTAATTCAAATGGAATATAAAATTAACACTTAAGTTTTAGCTTTGAACATGCCCACTTACCTTAATCAGTCATATGCTGTGCCATTTGCTTACCTGTAGCTATTTTCTAAAATTAATTATTCAGTTATTTTTACTATTATCTTCTTGAGGGGAGTCTAAGATACTCTAAAGTTATTTTGTTATGGCTTGATGAGATTGCTGTCATTTTGTGTAACCCAGCCTCTCCTGCTGGCTTACTTTAGTTTCACAGCAATTCTTCACTTGCCTCCTTGAGAAAGACCTACAGAAATACACCTTGCATTGTACCCTGCTGGCCACCTGGCTTGCACTACCTTAAGTCAAGGGCAGGAGACACTCTGCCCTCTTGAGCAATTGCATCAAAACGTGCTTTGACTTTACATTACACTTATTTATCACTTCCAAAGTTCTCTTTACTCAGGCAGGCATATCTCATCACTGTGCACAGTGATTTAGGAAGAAGCTTAGAAGTGTTTAATAGATAAGCAATTCAAATGTTCACTTACACTATTGTTAGGTACTGAGTTTACCCTGGGCTAAATAATCAAGATTTAGATACATTCTTTTTAACTAATTTGGGGGGGTCTGTTTTCTCCTATGTGACTTAATGCTGCAATATATAGCTGAGACTATCGCAATTTCTTTTATTCAACAGTTAAAAATAAAACAATACAGAGAAAAACTTTTAAATACCTTGCAGAAGAATTGTCATCCTTGTCAATGCTTTTTTTTTTCTGTCCATTAGTGCTACATCTTTATTCTCCAAATTTTCTTGTATGTTGTCTTTCAGACTGAATCTGAAAGCATGTGTTCCTGTAGTTGTACTAAATAGAATCTCTTGAAAAATTAATTTTTGTTATAGGAATGGATGGCAATTCTTGTAAACATTCTTTGTAAAAACAACAACAAAACACAACCAACCAGGTCTCCACTATTAATGTAGATATACCAATAATGCCTCTGTTTAAAAAGATACATGTATTTGTATTTTACCATGATTAAAAGCTGAATAACAGAAAAAATGAATATTCGGCATATTTATATTTTTATCTTGAAAAGAAGGAAACCTCTTTATGCAGCTTTTAACCACCTGGGCTGGGGATGTTGCAAATATCTTGCCCTGATCTGGGTCCACACAACTACTAAACCTTCCAATTGACTTGTTTTGGAATATGAGGTCTGAAGTAGAAAGAAGGGTCAAAAAGCTTTATATACATACATATTTACACTTCCCCCATCATTAGTTCTGTGTTCATTCTGTTCCAGCTGTTCTTCCTGCCCCTTTGATGTCTTTCTATGTATATTTTGAAATTGCTTAAGTAAAACAAGTGTGGGGATCTGCTCAGTTTGCTTTACAGCTGAAATCCTTTAAAAAAATACAGATATATATATATATATATATATACATATACACACACACAACTGAAAACTGAGGCCATTTGTGGCTGGACTTGTAGTGATGTGAATCATGGAGGAGAAAATCTTCCCAGGATGTTCAACCCAGTCCACAGAACAACTGGAGTGCAGGAGGTGTCAAACTGGTGATTAAACTGTAGATTAAAATATTAGTTTCAGGAACCTAAATCACCTGCATTTTTTGACTCGATGACAAAAATGTCTCTGTAAGCAAGTACATGGCAGAAGACTGACTATAAATGTTTTGGAACTATTTGTTGTGTAGCATTGTTCATAAGCTTTGTAATACCTTTTCTATATTCACTCTCCCCACCCTAAGATTGTTAATCACAGACTAATGGACAACAGCCATGGGTGATTAGCATCCCTAGAACACAGCTGTAAACAGAATGAGCTTAAAATACTCACAATTTCTTTTCTGACTAGTGATGCAGCTATTGCTTGATCTTCTCACAACCTATAAAATACAGCCACTTTCTTGTCATGTGTTCTAGTCCATAGTCTAGTCAGCTTTGGAGGCTTCTTACTATTCTTTGCTTGTTCGTGAGTATGCAGGGCTCATGGAACATGGCATGAATTTTAGCTGCATGGGTTTTTTTTAAGAACTGGACTGTAGATGCAGGAATGTGAATTACTGTATTTTGCTATATTCATTTAAGTAGCACTGGTGCTATGGTGGTAGAATGTACACGATCTTGAATTGCTTAGTTAAACTTGTACTGTGGCATCATGTCACACTGCTGTCTGACCATGGGAGTAAACTAATGCTTCAATTTCAGTCTGGGAAGGTGGAATTTATCAAGTATGTCAGTAAGGTGGGTGTGAGGCACTGGAACAGGTTGCCCAGAGAAGTTGTGGATGCCCCATCCCTGGAGGTGTTCAAGGCCAGGCTGGATGGGGCTTTGAGCAACCTGGTCTGGTGGGAGGTGCCCCTGCCCATGGCAGGGGGTTGGAACTTGATGGTCTTTAAGGCCCCTTCCTACCTGAACCATTCTGTGATTCTAATATGTAATTGCTGGTAATGTATCTCTTCAAAGGCTTATTTAACTTGGTAACAACTTCTTTCCAGTCCTGCTATTGCTGCAAACAGAACATGAAAGAAGGTGACCCAGCTGTCTACGCAGAACGTGCTGGATATGACAAATTGTGGCACCCAGCTTGTTTTGTCTGTTGCACCTGCAGCGAACTGCTAGTAGACATGATCTATTTCTGGAAGAACGGCAACCTGTACTGTGGAAGACATTATTGTGATAGTGAAAAACCCCGCTGTGCTGGATGTGATGAGGTAATAATAGCCTTGGCCTTTATTTTAGCGTGCAAGTTTGCTTCTCTGAGAAATGAATATGATTTTTAGTAAAATATTTCAGTGCAGGGACATGATGCACCTTCACGAGTTTTAGCTGATCGCAGTTGCAAGGAACTTAGATTGATATGCACACTCCACATTCAGGAAGATCCATAATTTACTTTGGATTTGGAGGGTATTCTTGGTGGTCTATGTGGACGTGGGATGTAACACATGGGTGCTAATTATCTTATCAAGTCCCAATTATGTGGTTGTTTCCTCGTGAAGGGCACTAGGGGGAGCGCCTGACTAAATTACACCCTGTGCAGCCTGCAGAGAGCAGCCTGCCTGGTGTCTTTGGCATCTATTGGCTCTTAGTAAACAAAATGGAGTGTTTGGAAAACCGTGTAACAAGGGAATGCATTCAGTTTTATTGTTGGAACGGTTTGAAACAGTGAAATCACTAGGAGTTTCTTGAGGCTGCTTTATCAAAGGAAATAGCATTCAAATGCATATGTTAATATTTGTTTGTCTCTTCCTCATAGCTTATATTCAGCAATGAATATACTCAAGCAGAAGGTCAAAACTGGCACCTGAAACACTTCTGCTGCTTTGACTGTGATTGCGTTTTGGCTGGGGAAATCTATGTAATGGTGAAGGACAACCCAGTCTGCAAACCCTGCTACATGAAGAACCATGCTGCGGTAAGAGCCGTACAGCGCTGGCGCTGTGCAGGAAGGGAACGTACAGCTGTGGAGCCTGAAACTCTTATTTTCTGCCTGTGGCAGGGTACCTTGAAGAGTTTAAACTGAATGAGAGTTTAGCATCAAGTCTAAAAAGCAGACAGGGGATTTGTGTATTCATGGAGTCATCTTTTTCCCATTTGAAAACAGACTTAAAAGCAGACAGGGGATTTGTGTATTCATGGATTGGAATAAAAGCTACTGCTGGAGGGGGGAGGCTGTTCTGAAAACACCTTTCACTTTGCCAGTGGTGAAGCAGGATTTTGTAATAAGTAGGTGAAGATGAGTAACGCTGCTAAACCTTTAGTTTGTGTCCTAGTTTATTGGGCCCAGCTTGTCTCTTAAAAACCTCTAGTGGCAACTGCAATATGGGTACTTTGTTTCTTTGCTTTTCTAACTCCCCGAGTTACAAAGGAGAGTGACTGACAGGATAGAGCTAGACGTTTGGGAAAGGATGGTAGTTTTCGATGCCTAGTTATGCTAGGAGCTCTAACCTGAGATGATGGTCCATTCATATCAACAGTTAACTACCTAGTGGTTGGGAGTTCAGTCTAATGTGCATCTAGACTGTATAGTTAATGGAGGGGAAAAAACATCTCTAGCTGACAGTTAATAATCTTCTGTGGTAGGTGTGAAGGATTATCTTTTGGAGAGGCTTTTTTCTCTTAATATTTTAACTTCTTTGAGATCTAAATGGTATTTTTTTGACAACCAGATTTTAGGATGAATTACATCCAAGACTTTCTGGTAACCTTTAATTCTTTGGCATTGCTTTGCAGCTGTCAATGCACAGGAAAATTTGTAACTAATCTTTTCAAATGTATGGATTAATATATGAAGATCTGTGCATGGCCAGTTTTTATCTTTATTTGGGCACTGAGAAATTCTCACTATCACAACTGTCTAAGTTTAGTCCCAGCAGCAACTAAATTCTTCTGTGCTTTTTATTATTCTGGTTTGTGTCCTCAGCTGCATTTTCATTGGAAACTGTTTTAAAGGAAAATCAAAAGCTGGAGACTTATTTCAAAGGCTTCTTTTAACACTTTTCTTCTCCAAAAACATTTAAGGATCCTAGCTTTTATTGTACTTGTAGAGAGAGTGTGTATTCTTCATTTAAGTATCATTTTGTTTCTAAACAGACCTGCCAAGGCTGTCACAACGCTATAGATCCAGAAGTTCAGCGTGTGGCGTACAACAACTTCAACTGGCATGCTACACAGGAGTGCTTCTTGTGTTCCTGTTGCAGCAAGTGTCTCATTGGCCAGAAGTTCATGCCGGTGGAAGGGATGGTCTTTTGCTCAGTGGAATGTAAGAAAAAGATGATGTCTTAAGAGAAGATGTGCACAGAAACAAGCACTGCTGCGTTCCAAAGGCTCTTGCATTTCTACTGTAAAAATACATGGTATCGGGGCATTTAAAGTTATTGAAAGTATTAAATAGCATTTTCCCAAAGATTTCTTTGAATGACTAAAACTTGCTATGTAGCCTTCATTTCTTAGCCCTAATAATGCTTTCTTTTTTGGAATATTATTCCTGAGTCTTATCTCAAAAGACTTTGTACCCCAGAAATGTAAGAAAATGTGTCTTAGGTATAAAATACACTTTAGGGAGTTCTTCACTGTGAAGGATCTTCTTGCTGTATGCTGTCTAATGGAAAAAGAAAATGTGAAAATGCTCCAATTTTTCTTGTTTTGTATGATAAATGTAACTCTTCACTTGTGGTTTCACTAATTTATCATTTTTATAGTTTCCTTGCTTTCATCAAGCACTTTAGACAGAATGATCAGCTTTACTGCCACATACAGTTTTGCTCACTTGACCTCAAGTATGCAGGGAGAATGAAGCTAAAAAAAAAGTTGCCTGTAATCATTTGCTTGTTGACACGTGGGTTCTTGAGGGATAGTGACCACTCTCACATCTAGTTTGTAAAGTAACTCTGCACCAGTAGAAAACTGTGTTGCCTCATGTTACTCTTTTCTAAGAAATGTTCATGCCTGGAAAAGTTTTCATTTCATTAATATTGAAGTTACAGATTTAGGCAGGGGGGAGGGTGCAAAAAATAAGAGCATGTCTTGCCTAGATTAAAGATACAAAAAGTTGAAAAGTTCACCAACATTAGTGGGTGTCACTCTTATCCTTCGAGACTGGCTTCTGTTTTTTTCATGAATGTTATTTTCATAAATTGTGCCTTCTATCAGAGGGACGTGGCACACAATACTGTATGCATTTCCAAGAATGTAATTCTGCAGTAGGGATTATACTTAGGCTTTTGATTTTTAAGTTCTTAACCAAAGCACAAAGAAGTCTTTCCCAGAAGACTTCCAGTATTTGAATGAAAATCATCACAAGTGTATATTCCCTTTGCTTACTAGGTAAACCAAATGTGTGGTTCTCTTTCTTTTTTCTTAACAATTACAGATCTACACTGAAACCTGTTAGCTATCTTTGTGCCAGTGAATGAAGAGTCTTTGACCGAAAAAATTAAAAAAAAAAAAATAAAAAAAACCTATGCAAGTCTTATGTTCAGCTCATTTATTTTTTTTTTTTAAACTTTTATGGTGGCTGTATTGTAACACTTAAAAATAAAAATTTGTGTTGTTCAAGTGAGTTATCTACTGGTTCTGTTTTTGTTGAATTGCCTTTAGGGGAGTCAGAGGGGAAATGTGTCTATACTTCCCTTTAGCTTTGATGCTATTTCTGAAAAAAACTTAAGGCCTGTATTGCTGTGGAGACCTTACTGTCTTGTGTAATATTGTTGATGTGCTTACAGGTGCAAAACAATGGGTCTTGTTCTGAAATTGGGTATTTGTTGGAACTTAGTGTGAATGTACTTTATGTTCATGTAAAATGTGGCCTTAATTATATTAACTAAGGGAAGTTCTGAATTCACACAGGTGAGCTAATACACTGAGAAAATAAAACTCATTGTGATCCTTCGCATACTGCAAAAATAAGACCCTGATAGATACGTGCATTGTCTAAATTAAGTTGTGAACTTTAGGTCCATGTTCTGGAAGCCTGTACAGCTTTTCTCAGGGATCCTCGGGATATACAAAAAGAGTGTAATGCCTTCTAGCTCATGCCAGTGGGGCTGTGTTCTTATAGATTCACGGTTTTACACCAAGGAAAACCGCCTCAGTAAGAGAAGGTATTCCATTTTTCCATTTAAGTTCTTAATCTGTAGCAGGACCTACTGTGGGAATGCCATTAAGGGGGGTGTGATAAGGTCTTATTTAATTATCTATAAGGCTGGCTTAACATTACCTGGGTTTTCTTTGTCTTGAGTGTATTTGTCCTCACCCACTTACTAACATCTAGGCTAGAAGATGCAGCTGATCTTTACAAAGAAAAGCGGTTGTGCAGCTTTCCCTGCCCCTCCCTTGCCACCCTGTAAAACAGCTCTATTTCTCCTTAACGTGGTTGCTTGCGCTGACAGCAGTCTTACTTTTCACTTTGAATCTTGTTCTGTGCAGTTCTGTTTGTCAAACTTCATTATTGCGTAACCTTCATTTAAAAAGATGAGCAGGCACTGACTTGGGACTGACTTATTCCATCAGGACAGAATTGCTAAGGAAATTCATGTCGAACCAAACATCTCAATAGTTTGTCATCTTCTGGGCCTGGCTTTTTCCATGCCTCTTTGGAAGCGTGCTGGCTTGCTGTCTCTTCTTGAGAAGCTCAACCTTCCCTTGCCTGCTAGATCCCTTCTGGCCCTTTTCCCTGGAACCTGATGCATCAAGGTGTTTCTGCTGTAGGGTAGCCAAAGTTTAATCTATGTCCATGCAGTAACTGGAAAGGCTCGTGTCATAGGAAGGTCAAGTGTAACGTGCAGATGAGGGAAAGGTGAGACAAAGATACTGCTGTGTGACTGCATAATAGATCAGGAGATGATTAGGAGTGCTAAACAGTTCTTGTAATGAGCTTGGAAGGAATTCATGTTCCTGAAGATAATTCTTTTGGTGTGAGCTGAAAGATACATCAACATACTGGAGCTTGAAAACAAGCATTAAGGAGGCTTCATTCTCTTGCTGCCATAATAAAAATATTGGCAGTTAAGTGGTGTTTGGTTTTTTTATCTCTTGTGTTTTTTGGCTCTTTTATCCTGGAGGTCCCTTGGGATCTATTTATCTTAGTAAGCCAAGAATAGAAGCGGGAAGCTTTTGCATACTTCAGTAATAAAAGTACATACTTTGCAGATGAAATTTTGAACTTAAAGTATGAAAGTTGAAGTTCTAACCTTAAGAGTAAAACTTTGATAAGAAAGCCTTATAAGCACTTGTTATAACGACATAGTCTTCTTTTCAGAAAGAGTTAATTGGCTGCAAGAAACAGTCTGAAGAGGCGCTCAGCCAGCTCTATTTATCATGTCACTGCCAGAGTGACATCTTCGATTTGAACTCTTCACATGTTCAGCACCAAATGAAGACAAAGACTTACAGCAGAAGACAAGTTTGGCCTTGTCACTATCAGCATGTGTGAGAAGGGAAAACCCAAATTTACATTCAGGATGTAACTTTCCACCTGTCACAGCTCTGTGTTCTGTGTTGCGTTTTATGAGGCTACTGTGACAGTGTAGGTTGTTCTAACAACCTGCATGAGTGAAGTTGTTTGCTTCCAGAAGTGGGAAGTCTGGATAAGAAGTTGTCCTCAAGCATATCAGCTCCAAATTCTGCCTCGCACCCTCTGAGAGAATGTCCCAGTCATTGAGCTGTGGTGTCACCTCTGGGCAGGCACTCTTCACGCCAGCTGTTGGACGTTGCCCATGGCAATTAAGAATGTCTTAGTCAAGCTTAACTACACAGGAGGCGGGCAGTACCTGGGTTTGGGTGTTAGCCAAAATACTCTGTTAAAATTGTGTGGCTGTGGCATTAGCATCAGCAGTGAGTAGGATCACACAGAGCTGGATTTGGTGATTTTTACAAATATCTGCTTGCCAATGGCATAAAGCTGGAGCCTCTCCACGCTTACAAAGGCTGGAAACGATCGTCCACTTTCACGTATTGCATCTATTACTCTACTGCTTTTAAGTGCTGAGGCCTAAAAAGCCTACAGCCCAGCACCTCCCGAGTCTGTCTTTACTCGCTCCTTCAGCAAATAAGTAAATTGAGTTTATTAATTAAGTCTAAGGCTTGAGAATGGTACTTGATAAAATGTACTGCCAAAGATGTCCCAGAAGTAGGTGTTAAATGGAAAAGAAATTATCTAAAGGGTATCAACAATCCAGGAGAAGTGGAGCAAAAAAACCCCAACAAAGTATGGAAAATTACCTGCACATTTTTTTCAATTATTTTATTAACAAAATGATGGATAAAGGAGGTTGAGGGAACAAAAGTCCAAAACCATCTGAGCCAGGACTAGGTGCAGATTGCAGGTTGCCACCCTGTGTTCACTGCTTAAATCACCAAAAATGAGCCAGGTATTTTTTACCTTGTCACCCTGACAAGCACCGAGGCAGAACCTGCTTTGCTGTGCCACCACCAGAGCAGCAACGCTGAGTGTTGTCCTTGCTGTGAGCAATCACAACAAAATGTAACAGGTCAGAGTTTGCTCCGCTGCCTCCCCCCCCTACACAAGTGAAAAATGACCCAAATAAGAGGCTGTGTCTGCTACAGATTAAGCCCAGCGTTGTTCAGATTTGGCTTCAAGCCTAGCATTGTTATAGAAAACTTTTACACCCAGTTTATGAGAAACTAGTCAAGCTTCACGTATTTGTTAACTTTTCATTTGTTAAAAAAAAAAACGTAGCCTCACAATAAAATAACGAGAGTATTTATTGGTTGCCCCGGATGAGTCGTTTATATGAATCAAGACTTGATTTTTATGTTCATAGTGACTGAAATAGTCAGAGCAGCCACATGATGTTCTCCAGTTACCCAGCAGATGCCGTCTGTGCTACGCCGAGCACGCGTGCTGCACACACAGGGCGAGACCCTGGAAAACACTCAGCTGGGGAAAAAAATAATAAAATAGTAGTTTTGAACCGAAAGAGAGAAGTTCTGAAGGTTTTGAGAAAGGAACAAGCTGAGGAGGGGGCTCTAAGTCCAGGAGACTGTACCGAGGTGGAAACCAGCATGATGGGGAGTGCAGCCAGGAGGGGCAGGCACAGGGGAGGTATTTTAGGGTGAATGTGAGTAGAGTGGAAAAAAGTGAAATAAGCGAAGCAAGATGCTGAATCATGGAGGCACTCTGGAATAATTTTGACTTACTAAGAAAAAGTAGAAGGCTAAATGTGGTGAAGGGAAATTGCTCTAAGCAAGGAAAGTTGATAATGTGGTTTAATTGCTAGGGGTAGAAAACAAAGACCGTGAGGTTAGGGAACTGCTTGCAATAATTAAGGTTGTGAGAAAATGAGAGAAAAGGAGGGAGTTAATTAAAAAAAAGCAAAATGGTTTTTTTGTCCGATAATGGGCTGATACTCGATGCTGAAATCTGCTGTATGAGGGTAACTTTATGGCACTTTCTAGGAAGTGTATCTGATTCTGATGAATCAGGTCAGGAGCAAAACACAGGGATAGTGATAGCAGGCATTTGGAGAAGTCTGAGGCAATTCCTGTGCTCCCAAACAAGCAGGACACTAATGGCTATTTAAATTTTCCAAAAGCTAAGGGCATCCAGGCCAAATGTATCACTTTACTCCAGCAAAATAATGGCAATAAAATCACACTTCTTTTAGCTGTGAAGTCACGGTTGAGGGCTCATAACATCACAGAGAGGTTTAAGTTGAAGAAACTTCTGGGGGTTATCTAGTCTATTCCCTGCAGAAAGCAGGGAAACTTCACAGGTGTATCAAGTTGCTGAGGGCCTTGTCTGGCCAGGTTATAGTCACCGACCTGCCTGTTCCAAAACCAGGTGTGATTTAGCTCTTTGCATCTCACGGCCGCTCTGGTTTTCACTATCACACATCACAAAAAGGTACCCACGAGGTGCTGTTTCTCCCTCTAGCTGAGATCATCACTCCATTGTGTCTTCCCTAATTAAGCCTAAAGCCCCCAGCAAGGATGCTCCTGGGAACAAGCATTCCCGAGTACTTGAAGCAAAGCAGCTTAGCTCCCAGTGGTTTTATGATTAATTGACAATCTAGCTGTATTATATTAAGCTGCGGCAGGAGTTTATCCCTTTCAGACTTCAGAGAATCTAATTGGGAAACCACGCTTATAAATATATTTATTGCTTCTATCCTAGTTTGCATTTTACTAGGCAGCAGAGACTCCATACAGGCGAGAACTCCAGTCTGAGGTTTCTCTGCCATTTAATACATAAACTCTGACTAAAGCATTTCCCATGGTTAGGGAATTCATTAGATCTCATCTACCCATGTGAATTTTCTTTCATTTTTTAGAGGCTGAGGCTCAGCAGAGGCTCAGCATTAACAGACAAAACTTGTTTCGCAAGTTTCCCAACACTTGTAGAAGCTTAATACATCTTAGATCTCCATCGCTCTGCCAAGTCTGGCTGAGGTTACAGAAGTATCTCCCTGTCTCCTTCTCTGTCACTGTCTCTCTCCCACACACACACCCCCATGGAAAATGCATCCACAGATGACTCAGTCTGAAAAGTCTTTCCAAAAATGCCCAAACTAGTA